TTTTTTTTTTTTTTAGAGTGTGGAAAAATCTTGTGTATCCTATGCTATGCATCATGGGTAAGAGTTAAATGACAGACAGGAAAAGTGCCTGTGTGACTAGCCATTCGACAAATATTTCCCTCACTGCGTAGGCAATTGTAAAGACTGCTCAGACATTACAGCAGTATTTGGCTATATTGAAAACTGAAAAACCAAATTTTTTAAGTGAAAATCATGGCCAACTCCTTTGGCATCATATAATCTATGACAAAAGTTCAAATCTAGGTTGGCTTGGTACAGCACGCCTTCTGAAAAGGCCTGAAATAGCTTTTTTTTAGTATCAGCCATATGATAGTATCACTGCAGATTTGCACAAAATAGCTTAAATCTTAGTTGCTTCAGTGTGAACCATTAACTAGTAATTGGGCCGTCTTATTAATGGATTGTGGTAAGTTATTTAAAATGTTTTTCATGGTTTGTGCTTTGTCACTTTCAAATGACTCGAAATCTTTTCAAAACTGCATAAAAGCCAGAAAAGTTTGGATACCTATGCAACAAAAGATGCAAGCTGGTTCATTTTCTTGTCCCCTTCTAAGCAAAGATGGAAACAGCAGTGCCAAACACTTGCCATAACTTGGGAAATTCCCTGGGACTGAGCCAAGGTGCTCTCTGGAGTAATAAGGCAAAGTGTTGCTCTGTTCTAGGACTCTTGCAGTTTAACCATATGCCATGGCACAGATATATGCCACGCAGCATGCATAATTGAACATGCCACACTACAGAATATATAACCCATTTTCCAGTGGGTTTCAATCAGATATATCTACCAGGAGGAAGTGTAATCACTTAGGCCTTTTAGGCATGTCCATTGGTTGGAACCTTCCATATAGTTGAATTTATTGGTCACCCACTGAAAAAGGAAGTAATATAGATCTGGAATAATATGAGGAATTATGGTAAACTTGTGATAGCATGAGGAATGCCAGATGAGGGTCGAGTATGTGGAAACTGAAAGCCAGTAATGGTCAGAAAATTAGTGAAGGGATTACAGAGATCCTTGTAAATTTTTATAATGTACCTATTTTTTCTCTCTAATCACAATTCAGACGTATAAGTCACATTCCATGGTATGATAAGCCCCATAATACATTACTGATGGTCATGCATGTCTCCTATTTTTTGCTATTTCTAACAATACTGCAGTGAACTGTAGGTTTCTCATAGGAACGTGTAGGTCTTTAGATAGTGCAGAGTAGAATTGCTGAGTCAAGGGGGTTCATGGATTTATAACTGGCAAATACTGACAAGTTGCCCCCCAAAAGCTATAGTTAACTGAAACATTTTAATGATTTTTATGATAAATCATGATTTTTACTGGTTATTTGGCTCCATGAAATAACTCCATTTTTAAAAGAAGAAAAAATACTGAAATATTGTCATTTATTCAGAGCCACCTTAACACAAGCAAGGCAGAAGCAACTGAGAGACCCTTGGGTTGGCTATTGATTTTTTAAACTACTGAATACATTTTCTCTCAAAAGCTACCACAATAACTATTTAAGTAATCCACTGTGAAAATCAGGAATTTCCTTCCCATTTTGGCTTCCTCCATCCTAATTGGAAGCATCTTGTAGTTATAGCAGGGGAGGGCTTTTTCTAGCAGAGATTCTGTGTCAGTCTTACAGAAACTGCAGCCAACAGTTTTGGAAAGGTGAGTGGCTAAAAATTGTAGTCTAGGACTGTGTGGGCTGGGTTCTGGGCACTAGGAGATGATGGGTTACTTGGAAAAGTGGAACAGATACTGAGGACCTGCCTTAAATGGAATAAAGTGGACCACTTCCTCTCCTCGCTGGAGGTGGTAGTTTAGGGTACAGGACTTACTCCAATGAGTTTATAAACACAATCACATTCATAGGCTTTAAAGTGGAATTAAACTTAGTGGGTCCACCGACACAATGAGAGGTGTGTGTGTGTGTGTGTGTGTGTGTGTATATATATATATATATATATGGTATATGAAGCGCCCCAAAGGCTCTGACAGTCCATCCTGTGCGTTTTTATAGAGTAGAGGGCAGAGGCCCACAGAGACTTTGAGGCCTGCTCAAGGACCAAAAGCAGCGTCCAAACAATCGAGTAGTGCCGGGCTCACAGTAGGTGCAAAAGAAGTGTGAGTTCCCTCTTCTTTGAAAGGAAGGTAGCAAGGGGCTGGAAGCCTTCCTGCCTGCCCCTCACTTTCATGCCTGGGTTCTTCTGCCATGGCTACAGCTGTTGAAATGCCAGCGGGGCAGCACACGATGCCATCACTGCGATTCTTCTCTGGCCTTCTACCTCCTATTTTCTTGGACTTGGAACACTTCCGGACAAAACAAAACAAAAACATTGCAATCACACAGAAAGTTATAAGCTACCTGACTCTAAAGAGCTGGAAAGCACCAGAAGAATGTGTGCAACTTACACGTCCTTAGAATTGCAGTATGAATTTCCAGACGTAGAAGGATGGCTTGTAATATGTCACACACTGCAATAACTTTGGA